CAGGAATGGTGGAATAAGACTTTTGAAAATCCTCTCCTTCATAAAAGCAATGAGAAAAAGTTGGCAAAAATTGTCAAAATCAACTTTTCAGAACTCTTGAAATTAAAGGCTTTGCAGTAACTTCCAGGGAGTGTTTATTCAAGAAAAATGGTTGAATCTTGGTAAGGACAGTGAGCTTTGTGGCATTTTAACTTGCTCTAAAAACCAAAAGCCCCACGGTTATGGTAAAAACCAGCAACTTAGCAGCCTGGGGTTGAGGGTCATGGAGAGAAGTGAGGGGAACAGAACTCTTCCAAAGCCCAATTCCCAAATAACAGTCATTATTTGATTATGGTAATTCCCTGGAAAATCCCACTGGCAAACCTTGTCTTTATTTGACCTGAGTCAGAGCTTACCCAATGTGTGACCAGCCTTTTCCCAGATTGATGTTGGTCAAAAACAATCAGAGGCAGATGTTTGTCAAAAACAATCAACAATTGTTGAACATTACAGCTCCCTGAGGCGGTAATAAAAGTTGAGGTAAACAACAAGCTGACAAAAAAACTTTAAAAGAAAGCTGCAGATGAGATGTCCATAGAGGGCTTTGAATGCTCTGACATATTCCTGGGAATCTAAAGGGCCACATGCATGTATAGGGCATATATATAAATTTAATAACATCTATATTAAACTTCCCAAATCCTGTATGAATTTCAAATAGAAAGGAAATGTGTCTGACAATGTTATAAAATTCGCTATGTCTGAAAAATTATTTTGAGCTACATACCAAAATAAAATTTATTTAAATATATCCACCAATATGCTAAAAATCATTTATCTTACAAAGTGAAGTACATTTATTATTTGAGGTAGGAATAATTATCACATTATAAAATAGAGGAAAGGAAATTTAGTAATTAAGCTACAAAGAAAGGATTCATTTTGTTTTGTTATAAGGCCATCTCATGGTCTTTTTTTTAACTTTTTAAGACTCACAAGAATAGAAGTTGCCAAAATAGGACACACAGTTCCCATCTACTGTTCACCCAGCTTTCCCCAATGATAACATCTTATCTAATGATAGTACAGTATCAAAACCAGGAAATTGACATTGGTACAATGTTATTAACTGAACTAGAGACTTTATTTGGATTTCACCAGTTTTTACTTTTTTTTTTAGTGTATAGCTGTGATATTGTAATCTATAAAAATATACTTATTTGGTCATTCAGATGACTAAAACATATTTCTTAGCTATGTTTGGTTTTCACCCAGTTCCTGGTCCACAGTGCCCAAAACCCTTGGAATTTCTGCCATCACAATTGGGTTTATGTTAATGAAAGTGACTTTTGAATCCCACAGGTGGGGAGAGAGGGAAGGGACCTGGTTGCCAGGAGAGCCAACCAAGTTATTAGAGCGTTGGAACTTTCATTCCCTCCCCCTGATTTCTGGGGAAGGGAGAGGGACTTGAGGTTGAATCAGCCGCTATTGGCCAATGATTTAGTCAATCATGATTATGTAATGAAGCCTCCATTAAAACCGGAAAAAGGAGCGTCTTTTGGTCCTTTTTGAGAGAGCTTCCATGTGACACTGTGCTAGGCCCCAAGCTTCATAAGGACAGAAGCTCCTTTGTTCAGGACTTTGCTCTATGTATGTCTTCATCTGGCTGTTGATTTTGATTCAAATCCTTTAATATCCTTTTTATGATAAATCAGTAATCTAGTGAGTAAATGGGTTTCCCTGAGTTCTGGGAGCCATTCTAGCAAACTAATTGAACCTGAGGAAGGGGTTGTGCGAGCCTCTGATTTATAGCTAGTCGGTCAGAAGCACAAATAACAACCTGGACTTGCAGCTGGCGTCTGAAGTGGAGGGTGGTCTTGTGGGACTGAGCCCTTTACCTGTGGAATCTGATTCTATCTCCTGGTAGGTAGTGTCAGAGTTGAGCTGAACTCTCAGACACCCTGTTTGTGTCTGAGATTCTCTTGCTGGTGAGAGGAAGCCTCCACACATACAAGTTGGAACTGGGTCGGGAACCCTTTCAATAGGATTATGAATTCTGTCACATATACATATGAGCAGTATCACCATGAAGATGGCATCTGAAGCCATGATGTTAAATAAGATGATCCAGAGAGAGTTTAGAGTGAAAGAGAAGGATGGAGATCAGAACCTTGATAAATGCCCTAATTAAAGGGTGGTTCTAGGAAAAAAAACAATGAAAACCAAGAAGAAATGATCAGAGAAGTAGAAGGAAATTTAAGAGTGATATCCTGGAACCCAAAGGAAAAAGAGTTTCAAGACAGGAGTGACTGCTGAAGGAGTAAGGGGTAAAGAAAGGACTACAAAGAGTCCATTGAACCTGGCTAACTGGTCATTGACAACTTTTGCTAGAGCGGCTGTAGGGGAATAGCAGGAGTTAAAGTATGTGTTGGGAAGTAAGGATGTGGACACACTGAATTATGAAATATCTAATGATGTAGTGGAGCAATGAATGCAAACAGAGAAAGAAAGATAATAAACATCTAAACAGAACTAAACACATAGGAAGAGATGATGGGTAGGAAGGAAGAGGGGCATTTCCGATTTCCGCATAACTGAAGAGAAAAATATATCTTGCTAATGAGTCATGTTTAACTTAGCAATTTAAATATCTGTGACCTCAAATTTTTTTCCTCCCACTGGTGTTTGTGTGAGTCAACTCAATATATATTTATTGAACATCTACTCATGCTGGGCCTTTCTGGAGAAACAAAGATAAGATTTGATTGCTGCTGCCTAAAGGGCTTTCAACTGAATAATGGAGAAATATTTTTACACAACATCCTAGCTCAGATGGGGGGAATGAACAGGGGCTAGCCAAGAGAAGAGCATTTCAGGAAGAGGAAACAGCCTTTTTGTTGTAAAGGTACCACAGTAAGAAAAAGATTGGGTTTTCTAATATTTAAAAGAAGCAGGGGTAAGCAAAGGGTGGGGCGGCTGGAGACAAGATTGGAGAGGTGAGCAGAGGTCAGCTTTTGCAGGGCCTTGAAGACTTTAGGAAGGACTATGGATTTTACTTTCTGTGCAGTAAGAAGCCACTGCAGGGTTTTAAGCACTGAAAAGTTTACCGTATTCCAAGGGTAATTCTGGTTGCACTGTGGAAAATGTACTGGTTAGAGGAAGGATGGGTAAGAGAAGATGGTGGCTTAAACTGTGGCAATAGCAGCGTAAATGGAAAGAAATCGATGCATACGGTTGAGCTAGAGTCTGCATTACCATGCTCCTCACTGCTGGGTCCACTGATGACTCCAAGACCTATCGCATTCTTGAGCTAATCCTCATGGAAACAAGAACTTTGTTTCTGGCTCCAATTGATGGGTTATGGGAAAGTGATTCCTCAGTCCTGATCTGTTGTCCTTTCCACAACCAAATGGAAATCCCAAAGCTGGCCTGGGAGTTCCCATGCTGACCACTAGGGGATGTGCATTGGCCCCTTGATGGCAGCTCACTCTCATGTGCTCTGGAATCACATCATGCGGAACCTGCCTCCAAGTGCCTAAGCCAGACTTCCCCTTTCCACTCTCATCCACAGACTTCAGTTTCTTAGGTCCCATTGCAAGTGACTGATTTTTCAGAATCATGACAATGTCAGGGTCACAGTTATATCACCACCAGGGCTTGTCTTGCCCAATACATATTTGCTGAACAAATGAACAAATTCCCCCTATGAGGAAGACAGGAATCCTCATTTTACAGTTTGGCCAAAATGACATCAGCAGTAAGTTGTACAGTCAGGATGCAGATTTAGGTCTCTGACCCAAATTCTGTTAAAATTTGTAGATATAGTCTTTTTAGACAAAAGCCAAATAAAACAGGTGTGGAAATTTCAGGGTACATATAAAATAAATGTTTTAATAGCAGACACCCTCAGTATTTCCTCACTCATGAGACCCCTTAAGGGCTAAGTTGTATGCGTTATCATTTACTGCTTCCTAACTTTATTTCTGTTGGTCCTGAGAGTCATATACAGCACCCCTTTGATAGTCGTTTTATTCTAATTTCATAAAAATAAATCACTTAAACAATAAATTAGTCATTTTAACAACCGAGATTGTACTTTTCAGATAATATTTACATATGCACACACTCTGAAAATCTAAAGGAAAGCAGATACAGGAACTTAAAATAGAGAACCAATGTTTTATAGTGTGGTTAAATAAGAAATTAAAAGATAAATGTGGTTGCAGAGCTTTAAAATTTTCAACATAAGATTCCGTGTCCTCATGATCTAAATAACACAATTCAAGCTGACTTCTTTTGACATTATAATTAATATAATAAGAACAGCAGTATCCTCTTGTCTCCCATGTACAAAAATATATTTAAATATAGTGTAAATTTATCAACTCCAAGGGCTAAAGAAGATAAGTTCCTAGAGTTCATTTCATCATAACTCACAATTTTTTAAAGCATTTGTGTAAATGTTTAATGACTAGATATTGGCTTTAAATTTTATACTTACTCTTTCATGATACTTTTGGTTCTTTTCTCTAATTTTCTTTATTTGAGCCATGAATCGTTCTACTGCATTTTCCTTTATTTGACAGCTGATAACAAAGACAAGATGTATTTTACGATTATTTGCCTTAGGAAAAACTAATGAGATAAAATTTAAAAATTAATCTAAATTAATTTGAATTGAAATAAAGTATTAAACATATTATAAAGACCCATTTAGGGATAAGAATCTTAAGTGATTTTGTGTTTCTGAGTATATTTTACTCACTAAAATATGTATTAGAGAGATAACTTCAAGTTTTTAAAACTTGTCATTGTGGATGTGGTTTCACATACATTCCTGCATCACGGACAACCTGAATTTTCTGAACTGTATCAAACTCAAAGACACCACCAGACGTTTTCAAAACAATATCTGCCAGCAGCTGCCAGCTGCAACCTTATGGTCTCAAGGTCTCCCCTTCTAACTATGTGATGATTTTGGACCCCAACCAATCGTTGCTTAACAAGCACCCTTAACTTCTTGCCAGCTCCAATCCTAATTCTTGACAAACAATGTGTAACTGTGATTTTTTTGCCTATATAAGCCTTCCCATTTCATAGTCAGTAGAACACAATTCAAGTGCTTCTTGAATCTGTGTCTCCTGGGCTATAGTCCTCAGTTTGGCTTGAATAAAACTCTTTTCTATTTTTATTACAGGTTGTTTATTGAGTATTTGCGTCAACATAGTAATGTGTCAACTTCCTTCTTCCATGCAATTTCATTGAAAATTCTGAGAAAGAAAACAAATTTGGATTCCAAAAAAGAATCTATAATTTTATCTACTTTTTAAACCCACAACTATATCCACACCTATTTCTATCTCTATGTCCATACTCATTGTAGAAAACTAGGTTTGGGGGAATAAGTATAAAGGAAAAAATAAAAACCACCATTACCTAGAGATGATCACTTTATAGATTTAGCATTATGTAATAAGATATTTTGAGAGAGGGAGAGAAAGACCACATTCACATAACTTTTAATACAGTATATTGTTATAATTGTTCTATTGTATTATTACTTATTACTGTTAATCTCTTACTGTGCCTAATTAATAAATTAAACTTTATCATAGGTATACATGTATAGGAAAAAACATAGTATATAAAGGGTTCGGTACTATCTGTGATTTCAGGCGTCCACTGGGAGTCTAGGAGCGTAATCCCTGAGGATAAGAGGTCGGGGGAGACTAAGAGATGATCACTTTATAGGTTCAACATTGGCAGTCTCAGCTTTTCACAAACAACCATATAGGTTCATGACTTTATTTTCTTGAGATAGATTTTGTTTTAAGTTAACTGCTTGGAATTGACTACCTACTGTGTGCCCTCAGCTCTTTGTCAGGAGCTGAGATTGTATAAGAGAAATATAAGATGCTGCCAGGGGACCCTTGGATAATCCTTTCTCAGATGGTGGAGGGAGGTGTCCTGGCTATTTGTCATGTGACAAAAGTCCTGTCACCTCGGAACACACGGAATGAGTAAAGTGTCACCAGAAGAGCACAGTAAGCCCTAGGCTGTTCCAGTCCATGAGATTATTTATTTAGTTTTAACAAAGGAAAGAGAACAAAAGCATGGGAATGTTCAACTTGTGTCTCTCACTAGATCATGAGAATTTTTAAACGTGTGCCTCTTTGTAAACCTCTGTTAAAGAGGAGAAAGACTGCCCTCTGGTTGACCCAGAAGAGAGAGAAGGAGCTGTAAGTGGATGTCATCACTGTGACCTGTGGAAGCAGATTAGAGACCAGATTGTAATCACAGAGCTGGACTTTTTGTCCACCTCTGCTAAGGCAAGATGAGCGAAATTTTCAGTTATGCTGAGAAATGAGTGCAGGTACAATCTGGTCATCACTTAATTGTTATCTAGAAAATAAAGGGAACTTCATTAAAAGTCCCTTCCCATGGATATTTCTCTCTCAGTGTTCTGACCCTTTCACTCACTATCTTCTAAAAAGAACATATGAATAGATTTGGAGTCTTGCAGGGAGATGGATTTTCCCTGAATGTTGTTAAAAACAATTCTCTTAAATAAAGGCCTAGTCACCAGCAGTGTGGACTCCTGACTTTCAACCTTGTTGCCCTCCAATAAATGGCTTCCCATTTCCAAAGCCCAAGTGTTCCACAGGGATCTGCTTATCTGACCCTTGCCTAAACCCTCAGAGTCTGCTCTGCCCTATCTCCCTCACTCTGCCATTTCTCACTTCCTAGACTGTGATAAGGTCTTCCTCACCCCAGCCTTTTTTCCATAAGCCTTCTGTCCATCACTCTATGTCTCCTTAACACCTGTTCCTCTTTCAGAGGTTAGCTCAGCATCGCTTCCTCAAACAAGCTTTTCCTGATCTATTTCAAGTCCTTCAGTTACAACTAAGCCCGTGAGCCACAACTACTGAGCCCGTGAGCCACAACTACTGAAGTGCTTTTGAGCACTTCATTTTCCATTGGAGTCATATGAGTCTTAGCAGCAATGATTGCCACTTACGTATGGGAACTTTCGGATTTCATAATCTAAGCTTACTGATAGTCGAGAAGTGCTTCACCGACAGGCAATTTGACTTCTTTTGGCGGTCCGTCTTGAATATCCTTTTTATTTGTTTTCGACGTGTTTTCCATTGTGTTGCTTAGCTAGAAAGAAGAATACCTGTTTAAAAAAAGAGACATAGGAAGAATAAATAAATTCTTTGTCCCTCTACTTGTGTTTATGAGATAAAGCACTGCTGGGACTTAATTTAAAACTGGCTCTTCCATCCAGATTGCTTCCATGTCCCGAGAGCTAACATCCACCACAATGCTGGGACCTCATGAATCAACTGGATTCTTGAGTCTGGTGAGTTCCATGCTTAGCCCAGGTGCAGCGTTCCCCCACCCAAAACTGTCTGAGACTCACTCTCTTACATTATCCATCAACAGCTGTTGCCCCTGTCAAGCTTCTTTAAGAGCAAGGGCTAAACTTTTTCAATCATTTAATGTCTCCACAATGTTTGGTAGAGTGCACCACATGTAACAGCAGCTCGATATATGTCTTTTAGTTTTTAAAAAGTAAGACAAAACAAAAGCACAACTTTCTATGAGCACCAAGAGACTAGGCTCCAAAAGGATTAGAACTGGGATCCAAAAGAATTAGGTTTGGCCAGGATTATTATAAAGAACAAATAAAAGGACACATTAATGTGTCTTTTAAATGGTTAAGAGGTTTACAAATGCAAAATAATAAGAAGAACAATAATAATGTGTTATCATTAACAGTAACTGTTCATCAGCTATTAATTGCTTTTGTAACTAATAATAAAAACTATCAAAACTAATATTTTTTAAATGAGAAAATCAGGCCCAAGGTTCTTAGATTTTTATGGGAAGCAGAAATAACCTTGTGGATTTGGTATGGATACTAATGCACATCTTTTAAGATCATAGTCTTCCTTGACAGATTTTTATCTTTTGATTTTTATTAATCTCAAGAAAATAAGTGCCTAACCTTCAATCAGTGTGTTAGTAGTTGGGTACAGTAGGAAGAACATAACCTTTGTAATTATTTGTTAAAATGGCTGGAAACTCCATGAGAGTGGGGATGATGTAATTCTTGTGCCTTACTGTATTTCCCCACCTAGCACAGAAGATGCAGTCCTTATCAAATGAATGAATGGACAGGTGGATGAATCAGGCAGACATATTTTAATCCTAGATCCACCATCTTTTACCTGTGTGACCTTGAGTAGGTTACTGAATCTTTTTGAGCTTCAGTTCCATCATTCCTAAAGTGAGAACAAAAATCTTATTCTAGGGCTTCGCTGGTGGCGCAGTGGTTGAGAGTCCGCCTGCCGATGCGGGGGACACGGGTTCGTGCCCCGGTCCAGGAAGATCCCACATGCCGCGGAGCGGCTGGGCCCGTGAGCCATGGCCGCTAAGCCTGCGCGTCCGGAGCCTGTGCTCCGCAACGGGAGAGGCCACAACAGTGAGAGGCCCGCGTACCGCATAAAAACAAAAACAAAAACAAAAACAAAAAATCTTATTCTAAATGCTGTAGTAAGGATTAAATAAGTTATATTTAAAGCACCTAGCATAGTGTCTGACATATAGAAAGAGCTTAATAAGCATTCTGCCCCTTTAGTTATGGCTCCAGATTATGCTTCTTTAAATTTCAGGTAACTAAAGCAGAGGATGTCTGCCTGCTGCCAAGTATGATGAGAGGTGTAAAGACTAATCCAAGTGGTTTGCTGCTGTCAGCCTTCATCATTTATTTGGATCACTGAATAGGCAATCTACATAGGTCATTCAGATCCAAAGTGGAGAAACTCTCTGAAATGAAAACATACTTTTCCCCTGCAGACATGCTGCTTACATAACCAGACCTCCAGCAAGGCTCAGTCTTTGTGGCTGAGACTTTTCTTTTCTAGCCAAGCATGTTCATCTCTGCATTCTAATAGATTCTAGTATTCATGTATGCAAATATACTACAATACTTTTTAACTGAAAATCACAAAGGTGACACTTCAAAAAGATTTAATATATTAAGACACAGTAGTATATTAAGTGATATCTTCTCAGATAAGAAAGTATTGAGAATAATTCTATAAGCTACACACCAAAATGTTTCATTATACCATCACAGGTCACAGAAACTTATCAGCTAGGAAAAAAAATTTGCTTTCTTTTGTTTCAGATGCAGGATTGAATTTTTATATTATTTTCTATTTTAGAATTAGAATGTTTAAATTGACTGTTGCACAAAAACATAGCATGCTGTCAAGTGTTTCATTTCATAATAACTTAGTATTTAACAAAAACTTTTACTATAAAATATTTTATTTAAAAGGTAAAACAACATTAATTTCTTTTTTTTTTTTTCTGAGTCATATAGAAGAGATCAAGAGTTATGGTTCCCACCTATGGTACCCATCTGGTGCTGGAGGAAAAATGGCCTCATCTTGCCCAATTACTTCAGTTACCTGGCTCTAATGTTTTCAACTCTCTGACCAATGTACAATTAGTTACCTAACTGCAGCTCACGGCAGAGGATTTTAATAAAATATGAGTGAAAATGTAGATCCATTAAGCACAAATGATTTGTGCATAAACTATATTAAGATTCATTGTTTCACACACTTTACAGAAAATTAGTAAGCCAATTGGACTGCCTGCTTAATAGCTGCCTTTTTGCAATGAGCTAATGACATTGCCTCAAAATGTACTTTTGCATTAATGTACTACAAACAACGGGGATTTTAATAAACATTTACAAGGATTTACAGTTCCTGACCACCTAGAAGATTTCTATCTCAGCATGTCTTTTTTTTTTTTTTTTTTTTTTGATGTGGACCATTTTTTTAAAGTCTTTATTGAATTTGTTACAATATTGCTTCTGTTTTATGTTTTGGTTTTCTGGCCCGGAGGCATGTGGGATCTTAGCTCCCCAACCAGGGATTGAACCCTCACCCTCTGCACTGGAAGGCGAAGTCTTAACCATTTGATTTCCAGGGAAGTCCCGGATTTCTATCGCAGTAAAAGGTGAGAATTCTAGAAAAACAGTCACAAAGTAACGTAATTATCTTCCAGGAAGATTTCACTTAAAATAATTCCTGACAGACACCTAATCGGCTTTGTCAGTAATTTCAAACATCTATTTAGTGCCTGTTCTCTGTGTGGCAATCTTCCTGGCCCTTGGTTATAAAACGTAGAGGAGGTGAGATCTCTACTCAGACTGATAGGAAGAAAGAAGCATACACCAGCAGAACCTAGAAAAAAAAAAAAGGAGCAACTTTAAAAGGCTTGAGAAAACCATACAAGTAATGAATGCTAGAGAGATCTTCGCCCAGGGCATGACCTTTCGAGCCTGTCTGTTTTTCCTCTCCCAACTCTGTCTGGGCATCAATAACACACACTATATATAGTGAGGGCAGGTGAGGAGGGTGGGTTTGAAGGACTCAGGTATCCAGCCTTTTCAGAGACTATTTCATAATCATTTTCTGTCAGAAAATGTTTCAAAAAATATTCCCCAAATGCTTCTCAGTGAAAAGTAAGAAGTCTATTTAGTAAAAAGGGACATGTAGTAGCCATCTTCTTCAAATGAGCTGTTATCCCATAATGGTTTGCTTGACTTTGCAAAATTACCCAAAAAACAAGGAGTGTGTCCCTTCCTGCACAGTCTCAGGATCCTGGCTCAATACCTAGAAAGCTCCTAATGACTTTTTTCATGACTTTGTGGAGCCATGAATATCCAGAAACCTCCTAATGACTCCTTTCAAATTCTGTGGAAGCTGGGAGGGATGGCAATTCTGCCCTAATACCTTTCCAGACGTTTGAAGTGGATCCTGTTTGTTAGCTAATGTTTTATATAAATGTAGATTAAAATGGAAGATGTTTACTTAATAGCATCAGTAATGACAAAAGTTCTGAATAAGATTCCATCAGGGGTTGACAGCACGATTTAGTTAAAAGGTCTCTATATGGGTGCCGGAAGTCTTAAAGTCTAGTCGTGGCTTTGCCATTAACAAGCTATAACATTATGTAAATCTAACAACAATAATAATGCAGTTACTTCCAGGAGCCTTTGTTAAAGAGCAAACTTAAAAGGCACACGTCTAACTATCAAGGCACTCACCTTCAACAAAACATAACTCCTTAAATACTGAATAGTAAGTACTTCAGCAACTCATATCTTTGGGAATTCAAACACAGATGTTGGCACATAGGTCAGCATCTCCCATGGGCACAAACTAGATGTTCAATAAATGTCTGATGTGAATGACTGACTGGCAAATAATGCATGCTCGCTTTCTTCCCTAGTGGCCTTATTTATTTGCTCATAACGTCGTATATACCCTGAATTTGGAAAGTAAAATAACTTTTAAACTCAAATTCTCAATTCGGCTAGAACACATTTTCAATACGATTGAAAACATTTTAGAAATGCTCTCCAGCATGTGTTAAAAAAAAAACAAACAAACAAAAAACAAAAAAACCTGAATGCATTTAAAGCCTCTTAGTAGTGATATCACCTAACAGTTAGTTTTACAAAATTTCAGACCCATCTCTTTTTGTATAGATTATGTATATATGGCCCCAAACAGCTTTAAAATGTAAGATAGAGCCAGTTTGGAGATATGATAAATAACTATACATTCAAATCAAGGTATTTAAAAATATCTAGATGGATGACATTTTCAACTTTCACTTGCACGACTGACAATGTGCATTACATTAGCATGTATTTTCTTTACCAATACAAATCCTTTGGTTAGTGGCACATTTTTGAACTACAGATCTCAAATTATATTGGATTCTTAGCTTAAAAATTGATGTCTTTTGATCCAGAATTGCTAATAACAAATAGCTGGAAACGCAGTATATTATACTAACTTTTCTAGCAACCGGAACTACATTTTTTTCAACTCCTACTGTCCTTCAATTTTAGAAGTGTCAAAAAAGAGACATAACTGTGAAGAGAATATTGTAAGGATGACGGAAGTACATGCAGTACCTTTACACTCTGATGGTGGAGGAGGACAAAAAGCCTTCTCTCCTTCCAAGGGCAGCAGTGAAGAAAGACGACCATCTGGGGCTGGGTCTTGGGGCTGGTGGAAAGGAAATCCATGAGCAATTATTACACACACTGATAAACACCCAGTCTTATTATTTTCCTTCTCTGCCTTCACAGAAACCTTTTCTTCCCTCTCAGATGGGACATCTCCTCCCACCTCCCAACGGTTTCCTCAAGTCTCTCCGCCCAGCAGAGCATTATGGGGTAAGAAGGGGAATGAGGAAACAAATTGGCCGCTATACAAATCTAGCAAGTTAATAAAAGAAAGAAACCAAGTGTCCTGTTTAGAAGGATGCTGCCAGCAGCCAGGGCAAAAAGCCGAAACCAGCCTATGGACTGGGTGGGTGAGGGTGAAAGGCCATCAAGCCGTCACGGAGCACTTATAAGGTACCTGCAGTGGGAGGGGTTCCGTGCTGGTACGGAGAAGGGTTCCAGGGTTTGCGGGGTACTCATTCTAAAGGCATTCACCAGACTGGGAATTCAGTGAGAAGAGACTAAGAAGATGAGTCTAGACCTAGCTCCTCCACCAGGGAGTTTTATAACCTCGGACAGGTCTCTAACCCCCTCTGACCCTCAGTTTCTCTTCCATCTTTCCTACTTCCTGTCGGAGTTATTAATGAGGCTCTCATGCTTTGGGAAAATTGTCAAGTGATAAAGCCCCATACAAATGGAAGGCATTAGTTTACTGAGCATCTACTGTGTGCTAGAGACTGTGAGGGCAAACCTGAATCAAATTCAGATCTGAAAATCTAGAAAGGCAAATAAGCAATGTATCCAGGGGTTCTACTGCAAGGCGGAAAAAGAGATGGGTTAATATTCCGATCAGATCAAAAGTTCTTCCTCCCTCTGTGTCTCCTGGGTGAAAAGGAGGGGTCAGCCTATGAGAATCCTTCTCAGCGGCTCGTAACCGCCCAGAATTTCGCCCGGCGCGGGACCCCAGAAGGTTGGGGCCCCAGGACCATTTTGTGGCGGAGTAAGCAGCAGGGCTGTTGGGGTGGGGCGGAGATGCTCGTAAAGTCTTAAGTGTCAGACTGGAAGGAGTCGGGGCCGAGCGAGGAGGCTAGGCAGCCTTCTGACCTCCCCTCGACGGCTTCCAGGTGCGGATACACAGTAACGGGTCCGGAGGTAGCACTCGCGTCAGGCAGGCGGACCAGGCCCACTCACTCCACAGCCGTAGCCGCGGCGCCCTCCGTTTCCAAGGCGACCGGCGAGCTAGGGCCTCCCCCGCCCACCACCAAACAGCCGCGAGCGGCGGGCCAGGCGCGCCACCTGGTGGCAGCAAGGGGAACAATCAGGCCGAGGTCCCGCGCTGCCTCTCTGCGGGTACCGCGCCCTCCCACCTTCTTCCCGCGGGGTTGTCACCGCCGCGAGCCACCCAGCTTACTCCACAAGACGCGCTCGCCCACCTTGCCTCCCTCTAGTGGCAAACCGGGAAGTGGTGAGAAGTGTAGAGACTTGACGTCCGGCCTCTGTGTTGTGACCGTAAGCGGCTCACTTGTTTCTTCCCCTGCAAAATGAGACGTCAGGACTGGTCTGTGGTTTTCATGCAGCGCGTAGCGTCCTACGATGTTGGGATGTGTGCGCGTGACAGGGATTCAGCGCGCCCCCGCCACCCCTACCAGCCCCTTCCACCTGGGCAGCTTTTCTCCTGTCTACTTTTGTGTAAGAGTTCTTTTAACTCCAAACAGAAGTGCAAACCCCTGGACTAAATGCTTATAAGGTAACTTACAGCTTTAAAAGTCCTTGATCCGGCTTGTTTTCTTTCTCGTTTTACTTTTTTGCTTCTAAACCTTAAGAAAACCAGTATAGATTTTGTCTTTCCCTCTCTTTCCACTTTTGGCAGCTCTCTTCTAATTCAGGGGGGGGAAATATCACACACCTACAACCGCTAACGTTCCTCTTTTCCTCATCTGCGTTCGTTCTCATTCTCTGCCTCAAGACAATTTCTTACATCCTGAGAGCACTTAGTTAGAGTCAATTATTCATCCTTTTGTCCCCAGAAGACAAAAATGAGGCGCTCTCTTGGGCCTCCACTCTCTGCATAAGTCTCCTGTTTGGCATTCTTTTTTTTTTTTTTTTTTTTTTTTTTTTGCGGTATGTGGGCCTCTCACTGTTGCGGCCTCTCCCATTGTGGAGCACAGGCTCCGGACGCACAGGCTCAGCAGCCATGGCTCACAGGCCCAGCCACTCCATAGCATGTGGGATCCTCCCGGACCGGGGCACGAACCTGTGTCCCCTGCATCGGCAGGCGGACTCTCAACCACTGCGCCACCAGGGAAGCCCTGGCATTCTTGAATTTGATTAAAAAATACATTTTCATATGTTTTATGATTAATGCTGTTACATTAATACATATTAAGAACTTAAGGAAGGGAACTGAAGCAGTGAATAAAAATATTAATTACCTTTGGTTAAGGTAGTTTTTCTCATCAGTAAAAAGTCGTCCAAAACCTAGCCAGTTTGAGATCATTTATGTCTCCTACCTCATTCGAACCGCACTTTATTCTATTAGTGTTATATATTTCTTTAGTGCCAATTATAATAATAACAACAGGTGGGGATATGGGGTAAAATTATTGAATAGAGTTCGGTGCAAGAGGGACAAAAAGAAGCTACCACCCAATTTTTTTAAAGCATGGGGATTTTTCTGTTGCTGTTCAATGGAAAAACAATTTTGTGATTCTTCAGTACTTTGAATTCATTCCTAAATCACTTCCTATAAATCTTAGGCCAGTTTCTTTTGCTAGAGCCTGGGCCCATTGTCAAAAATGTACTTTTACCCTATCATTTATCTCCTGTGCAGTTTTTCTTATGGTGTTTGCCAGTTTGTGGTCAAACAGTGAAGCCAGATAAAGACCATTTGCAGAGTTTCCTCATTTGACCTTGATTTTCTGTTAGTCTTGCCATGTTGAATGAGGCAGAAATAGAGGCAGGAGAGTTTCTGTGGTAGAAAAAGCCAAATATGTTGTCTGATTTTGGCAAAAGCACAAAGAACTTGTTTGGTATGTTCTGTTGCTAAGCATTTTATACTTTAAAACCTATTTTCATTACCTCTGCAAATAGACCATAAGGCAATCAACTAAATGTATTAATATTAAATCTCACAATAATTTTTAGGAACACAAGCTAGTGATTAACCCATTGGCTTTGTAAACCAGTTCAAACTTCTAGTAAATCAGAGCTTTTACTGACAACGAAGTTACTTTTTTTTTTTTTTTTTTTTTTTTGCGGTAGGCGGGCCTATCATTGTTGTGGCCTCTCCGGCTGTGGAGCACAGGCTCCGGACGAGCAGGCTCAGAGGCCATGCCTCACAGGCCCAGCCGCTCCGAGGCATGTGGGATCTTCCCGGACCGGAGCACAAACCCGCGTCCCGTGCATCGGCAGGAGGATTCTCAACCACTGCGCCACCAGGGAAGCCCCAAAGTTACTTTTGAGAAATATAAAAGCCCTGCTATAACTTCTTATCCAAAAACTTTGTTCCGGACAAATTTGAAACAGTTAAATTGGTGTTTTGCCAAAAAAAAAAAAAAGTCATAAAGTAAAATATTCTCTTGAGGGGAAAAGTTTACATCACCTTTAAGCAGGCATGGTGACAAACTCATAGAGGAGATTATGTTTTGACCCATCATCAACAGCATGATGATGAGTCTCAAAAGAACTTAGCTAAGTGAAAAAGCCGAGTGTGAGAAATTATATACTATATCACATGAAATTCTAGAAAATCCTGAAAGCAGATCACTGGTTGCCTAGTGCTGATGGGGGGAATGAGGGGATTGACTACAAGGGGGCAGGAGGGAACTTTTTAGGATGAAGGAAATGTTCTATAACTTGATTGCCGTGGTGGTTACAGGGTGTATGTATTTGTTAAAACTCATCAAATTATCTTTAAATGGGTGCATTGTATATAAATTATATGTTTAAAAGTTAATTTAAAAAATAGCTAAAGTTATTTGACAACTCCTCTCATCAAGGGATGGGGTCTCTGTTTCCTCTTCTTGAATCTGGTGGTCTTTATGACTGCTTCGACCAAGAGAATATGGCAGAAATGACTCTATGTTACTTCCAAGGCTAGGTCATAAAAACTCATGCAGCTTCTTCCAGGTTCTTTTGGGATACTCGCTCTGAGGGAGGCCAGCTGCCACGTAAAAAGGCCACTTTGAGATGACCATGCTAGAGAGAGCACGTGTAGGCTCTGTGGTTAACCGAGTCCTGCCTTCCAGCCCACAGAGTGCCAGGCCTGTGAGTGAAACCACCTTGGAGCCTCCCGACCAGCCCATGCACCAGCTGAGTATTGCTGAGTTGATCTCACTGATGCCACAAGGAGCCAGAGATCACCAATTACTAACCTACAGAATCTGAGATTCGGTTGTTTTAAGCCACTGAGCTTTGATAGTGCATTAGTTGTCCATTGCTGTATGACAAATTACCCCAACGTTTAGTGATTCAAGACAACAATAATCACTCATTATCTCACGGTTTCTATGCATCAGGAATTTAGGAGCAAGTTGACTGGGCAGTTCTAACTTGGGGTATCTCATGAGGGCAGATGTTGGACAGATTCTGTCTCTGCCTAAAGGAGCTTTCAGTCTAGGAAGAGGGAGGGGCAGACAAATTAATAGGCAACTGCAACAGAGCTGGATAACCCCTGGAACAGGGGTAAAAGCAGAGTGCTAAGGGAACACCGAGCCCAGCCTTGAGGGTCAAGGAAAAATTCCTAGAGGAAGTGAGGTCTAAACTGAGTCTTGACAGTGGGCAGGGATGAGTCAGTTTGGAGGGTGTGAGAGGGGCTGGGACAGAGGCATGGGCATGTACAAAGGCCTAGATGTGAAAATGAACATGACGAGTTTCTCATGGAGCTGAAAGAAATTTACTAATGGTTAGATCATAGCGTCCCAGAGAAAAGAAAGGAGCGAGAGGGGAGGCTGGAGAAGCAAGCAGGGGCAGATCCTGATGGGTCCTCTGAACCACGCTCTTTTATGATAACAAATGTTCACTCTGGCCACAGTGTGGAGGAGGATGGGAGAAGTCAGGATGGGGACAGTTTCCAGGATGAACTCCACTGAGCACAGTTCCAATCTTTTTCTGCCTAAGAGCCTCTCCCTTAGGTCTAGTTTCTGGTCCAAGAAACATGTCTCAGGACCTGCCTTTTGCCAGATTGCAGCGACCGGCAAAAAGAATGACCTCATCTTCCTGGCTCAAGTTATCAGCTTGCCTAATCTCTGGAGCCTTCTATGACTCAGGTGAGATGTCTACCTCCACACCAGGAAGTAGCCTATGAAGCTCTGCCTCCAGCAAACATATGAAAGGAATTATTATTTTTTAACATCTTTATTGGAGTATAATTGCTTTACATTGTTGTGTTAGTTTCTGCTGTATAACAAAGTGAACAGCTCTACGTATACATATATCCCCATATCTCCTCCCTGTTGCGTCTGCCTCCCACCCTCCCTATCCCACCCCTCTAGGTGGTCACAAAACACGGAGCTGATCTCCCTGTGCTATGCGGCTGCTTCCCACGCGCGATCTATTTTACACTTGGTAGTGTATAGATGCCCGTGCCACTCTCTCATGGAGTAACACTACCACATATCTGGAGAATAGGGCAGTATAGATAATAATTTCCACCTTTTAAGGACTGTATTCATATAATTTTTCCCCCTTGATTTTTTTATTGTTGTGGTAAGAACACATGAGATCTGCCCTCTTAACAAAATCTTAAGTGTATAATACAATATTGTTAGCTATAGGCACCATATTTAATAGCAGATCTCTAAAATTTATGCATCTGGCATAAATGAAACTTTGTTGAATAGCAGCTCCCCATTTCCCCCTCCTATGAACTTGATTATTTTAGATATTCCGTATAAGTGGAATCATGTAGTATTTGTCCTTCTGTGACTGGCTTATTTCCCTT